TGGGGGGGGGGGGGGGGGGGGGGGGGGGGGGGGGGGGCTTTCGGTTTTTTTTTTCAGGAGGGGAATGGAGTGGTTTCAAACCTTATTTCTACTCACTTGGAAATAAGAGATTGCACTACTGAAGAAGACAATAACTATAATCTGAAGAAAAGTTGGATAAGAGCAGAGGAGCTCCTCTACATCATGCGGAAAGTCCCCTCTTTTTTTAGGAAGAGGGGCCGGGGTGGGGGATTTTTGGCTTTTTCTCTTGAGGAGGGAAAGGGGTTGGCTTTTGTATCTAATTTTCATCCAACGAAATGAGAAATTATAAAAGCACACTTCAGCACTGAACTAATCCGCTTAATTAATCAAAATCACAGTCGTCACACTGATAAAGCCCAATTGTGATACTGCATAGGAATGTATATGACTTAATGGACCGAAACAATCTTGTCACTGTTGATTGTTCAATTTTACATATATTAAAGGTTGAAGAGAAAATATGAAGAAGGGAAGAAAACAAAGAAAACGAGGAAAAGCATAGTAAGATGGGAAAGAGGACTGAAGAAATTTTTGTAATACGTATTTTTTGTAATAGAAATTTTTGTAATATTTCCTTACTGCGAGTTCCAAAACAAACCTTAAGCCACCTTGGACATGTTATTTTGACATTTGGTGGATCGATGAAGCTGAACAGGATCGCGTCAACAATCGATTCCATTTTCAAGTACCTGAAAAACTCGCGACTTTATGATCCTACCAGAAATACCCTCGTAACAACTTCGTCCCCCGCCTATTTCGAGTTCCTTCAAACACACGTTTAAGATGGTCTTTCCTCAGCTGCCTGCCTTATATACTATTGATATGCGTCTGTAATAGATATCACACATTACAATCTCCGATACGGCTTTCATCCAGGATTACACAATGAACACTTCTCGACGCCCAGCTGGAATGTCATCGAAAGATGAATGACTCGACTTTTGTTGCGTTTTTGTATTTTATAATTCCGATTGGGAGGTGAGAAGGCAAAGCGAAGGCTTCGCCCTTACACACCAAACATAGCCCCATGAAAACTTCATTCTCCACTATTTCTGGCCTTGTCAAACACACGTTTAAGTTGGTCCTTCCATAGCACTGATGGGCTTCTCTGTACATATTTAAACGGTTTGAGTACCATTCAATAATTCGCTTTGTCCATCTGTCCGATATGACTATCTCTACGTAGAGTATCTTTCAGTTTTATTGTATGAAAATATTTTATATACGTTTCTGACGCAAACTTATTTATTTAAAATGAAAATGAATTGTTCTGGATTATTATTTATGCAACGAAACATGGCATACACGTGGCAAAAAGCACAAAAAATTTGAGCAGCACAAGCATTTTCACGTAGTAATTTGTCGGATTTGAAATCAAGAACTTAAATATCAATTCGAACACTTAAAACATGAATGGCACGAAAACAAGCAATTTTAACTGTCCAATATTTTCAGTGCATGAAAAATTCGAATTTTTTTTTTTTTTCAATCCGTCAACCTTCCAAAAAAAAAAATACGCCTTTCTTTTTTCTCCCACTTTTCCTCCTCCTAATTCGTTGTTCTGTGATTATTTGAGAAGTGAAGGAAGTCGATAAAATAATGAACAAAACAAACGGAGACAGAAACTAGAAAATCATAGGATTTGTGATTAATGACGAGAATTTACGGATTTTCGTCAGAATTGAGTTCCACTATTTCAAGCCAAAAATCAATTCAGAGTGCTTCAATGATACAAAAATTTTCGTTCAAAACTGGTGTAAATGAGGTAAAAACCGTATGAACACACATTTCTGGAACAGTCTTGGATAACAACGAACGGGAAAATCATAAAAATATAACAGAAACATAGATGTTTATCCTCAAAAAAATGAAAGTGAAATTAATTATCATCGGTTCAAAAGAAAGGTTAAAAAAGTTCAAAGAAAAGAAATTAAAAAAAAGAATTTAAGCAAAATTTTTAGGACTTCTGCAGAATTTAACATATTCAAGGCAACAACTAAGTTCCAAAAAATTGAGTTTCATAACTCCGTTTCACTACATATTCGTATATAATCAGTGAGTAACAAAAAATAAATAAGCAAAGGCGATGGCTTAACACAACTCGAGAAGGTGAAGAATTTTTTTCATGCCTCAAAAAATAGCTGTAATTTTTAGTCTGTTTTTCAGAAATTTTCCATCTTCTCTGATCAATGCTTAAACATCTGGTGGTAGCCTGTTGGTGAAGTTGGCGTTCGTTCCCACTTCTTTTTTTTTCGGGCGGGGGAGGGAGGGGGTCCTTGAACTAAACAACTGTACTTATTTGAATACCTGAGCAGCTGTATGCCAAAAAACCGTAGAGACAGAAAATCTGGTTAAACTGTTTAATAACTGATCGATATCAGTAGAAATTACAACAGTTAAAAATCTGTGAAAAAATAATTCTGTGAGCAAAAACTAAATTTTGAGTGAAAATTAGCACATACTTAAGGAAAGACAATTTTGTTAACAAAAAATTTGGTTAAACTGCTTAATGCAGTAAAATTACAACGGTTAGAAATTTGTAGAAAAATAATTCAGTGAGCAAAAATTTTGTGAATAAAAATCAGTACAGATCTCTGAAAACACAGATTTTATTAACGAAAACAAAAAAATAATCCTACCTAGAGATATGCGCTAAAAAAAGAAAACAATTTTCTTTATCATAGAAAAGTGCCATCACAAAGACTGTCCGAATTAACTTGTGGAATTTCGGCATAACGTAAAAATGATCGTAGTCATATAACAAACACAGATCGCTCAGCAAAATCCCAATTTTTCTCACTGTTTTTGAACAACCAAAATGAAGTGTTTTTGAGCAGTTTCATTACAGTTGAGGCACTAAAAACTGAAAATCAGCATGTAATTGAACATAGGAAATCTGAGCATTAATAATACCGGGATTCAGTATAGACCACATGGACATCCCATTACCACTTTCCTACATATTGCTCTCCACATGATCTCCGAACCTGTCAAATGGTTTTGGGCCACATGAACAGCCCTACTATCTTTTCCATCATAATTTATTAAGCTAACCCCCCCCCCTCTCTCTTCCCCTCCCTCCTCGGGTTAAGATTTCCTAACAGTATCCGTTTCATATTTTCTAAGCTTGTTTCAGAGATTACGATTCAGCCTACAAACAATCACAAACTATTTTTAAAGTTAAATAATTCGGCCTGCTAATGACCGTAATTTATCACTACACGCACTGTACATAGCTATGCCAAACACTGCTCTCTTACTGCTGTCTCTTTTCTTTCTTCGTCCTTCATTTTTTTCCTCTGAATTATTTTTCCTCCTCTTTCTCTTCACATACTTTAGTCTCACGTACTGCTTATTTGCACACAGCGGCTAGGAGGCTGTACTGATGATTTCCATTCCTAATCGCATGCACAATTCTGTCTGTGTTTACAGCTAAGGGACAAAACACAGACTGCTTCCCCATACTTAAATATTTGTGCAGCGTATGTGTCATCGAAGTTCGGTGTCGCGCGCCATCGATGAGCTGGCAATTTCTCCATTCAACTCGTCGTTGCGCTCCCAGAGACCACGTACTACCGTACAGGTATACCATGGGGTCTCTCCACCCCACTGGTGGCCTAGCCAGTGTTCGCTTGACCGTACGCGGGTACCACTTCATTACCCGCTTCGTCCATTTGGTTATCTGTCATCCTTGCCAAATGACCAGCCCATCTCTTCTTGCTAGTGTACAATGCTGTAGAGCGAGCAAAGAATGGCGCGCAGGAGAAGCAAGGAGCAATCCAGAATCGCGCAGCAAATTGACCTGTGACCTGTCCCATCCTTTGTGATGAGTATTTAAGCCTGTAAATTTTTTGTAAAGTATTCATTGTATTCCGTGTTCAGTATCGTCGTTCAGTATGTCTCGTGCCCAGTGTTCCGTGCTTGGCGTTCAGCGGTCCACTGCAGCAGTGTGCCGCTACATTTCAGTTATCAGCACTCTTCGTCTGCAGCGGCTGTCGCTGCAATCGTTCGACTTGATCCCGTCGCTCCAACGACTCAATTGTAAACTGTATTGGTATTGATAAATTTCGTTTGTTTACTCCAGTCTCCACTAAGCGCCACAGCACATCAGCGTTCCTCCAAGCCTCGTCTGAAGCTCGTCGTAACAGCATCGCAATGTCGTCGTCGTCGTAACACTGCTACAATAATATCTTTCACGGCAGATCTGGGTCGGGGCATTTCAAATGGAAAGTGCTGTAGCCTGTTGGCGCTAACTATCCATGGCTACATTTCTCTTCAAAACACTGCTAATTTCCGTTCTTTCCCACGCGTTTATTAAATATTTATTAAAACTTCAAATTCCTATTCATGCACTTAATACTTACGGACTGTTCCGTGAGCGCCCGAAAAACAATTAAAATCTTTTACTCAAAAACAAATCCTCCACACAAGAAAAAACAAACCTAATGCATTTTAAGTTCATTTTGAGTTCGTTGCGTCCGGTCTCAGCCGTTCCGTAATACTCCCGTCAGGCTTAGCAAAATACGCTTTTTCGGCAACTCCAACAAATAAACCCGTCTCAACAACGCCCGGTAACTTTACTAGTCGAGTATTCAATGCATCTAGGTCACTTGTTGTTATATACTTATTTTTTGGGAAATTCCAATCCAAAATAAAATTATTATTGTCCGTAATCACCGGGCCCAATTTCTCTTTTTCGTTCGTTCTCAGCTCAATTTCACCACCTTCCATACGTCTGATCCAATTCAATACTGGCACATATCTGAAAAAAAGTACACATAAATGGGGTTACTTTTCTTTATTTACTTAAGTTTCTTTATTTACCTCAGTCTGTATTTTTATCATGACTTATCTTTAAGCCATAAACAGAATCGGTATCGCAAGTGCTCGCTAAAAAATAAAAAAAAAAAGAAAAACTGGGGGAATGTGCGCTGTTCAGGGTACCACTAAGATAATATAGAATGTTTGATTGTGAAAAAAACTATGCATATTTATAAAACTTCAAGTGGTTTGTGCGAAACCTACGTGAACAAGGAACATCCCTTTAAAATTTCAGCTTTCTAGCCTTTTTGGTTTCCGAGTTAGCAGCTTACCCGAAAGCTTTCACGGGACCCGCACGGGCAAAACCACATGGGTAAGAGTGCCCATTTTGGGGATTGGCGCCCGCACGTGCCACGGGAAGGGAGGAGAAGAAAGACAGGGGAGAGAGGGGAGGAGAAGTCGTAATGTAATGATTAACATGTCACGATTCGAAGGATTCGAAGAAAGTGAAAACGAGTGATTCGATTCTCTTCCTGCCCATATTTTTTCCAAAAAAAGGCCGCGCTCACAACATGGGGCAAAATATTTTCATGAAGGCCACGACTGAAGTTCCACTACCCTACTTTCACTACGTTATTGCTCCTTTTCTTAGTTTTTCAAGAAAAAAGGTGCTGATCTATCGCATTCGCCCAATATCGGTGTGGCCCTTTTTAGTCCGCCTAATAGCGATATCCCTCAGTAACGGTCATTATCTGTAGAAAGTAGAAGGCAGTACGGGCCGTAAAAGCCGTTATAGGCAAAAGGAAAAGGCTAATAAGCTGAGGGAAAGTCAAGTATATAAAAGCGCGAAGGGCAGCATAAAGGAAAATTCAGCTGACTAATAAACGAGGATTTGGAAAACTCACCCGAACGGAATTACTTCAATTGGAATCGGGAAGTTTTTGTCTCCGAGTCTTTCGGATTGCTTCGTATGGTCAGCTATGATGTAAAATTTGCTTGCACTTGTTTGCACAATCTTTTCTTGTGTTAAGCATCCACCGCCACCTGGAAATATCGCGTCAGAAAAAAATCAAAATTCTCGTAAAACAAAATATTCTGATCAACAAAAAAGTCAATAATTCGAATTTTTAATTATTTCACTAAATTTTTACTAAGAAAGCT